TCTCTCTCTCTCTCTCTCTCCCTCCCTCTCTCTCTTTCCACTGCCCCCAATTTTCTCTCTTTTTTTCTTTCTTTCTCTCTCTCTCTACTCGTTATGTCCTATCTCTTTTTTCTGTCCCCGTCCCCTTTCTCTCTCTCTTTCTCTCGTCTCTCCTCCATTTGTTTTCTTTCTTCCCGTCGTCCCACCCTCTGGGCGAGTCAGTACATAGTAAATGCACATAGAGAAACCACCAATAGGTGAAAGAGTAACCTTTTCCATCCAAACTTTGGCCATCATTTTGCAGTGTCGTGCAATACCACCCTCATTATGCGGCTGGTTGATAGGCACTGTATTGAGGTCTGCTCCCTCTACTACCTGTCAATGTTGATATGTTTCTTCCACGTGATGATCGTAAAAGTCACAGTTTAAGTGTACATGTATTCGTTTATTGTCCGGAATTTCTTGGATGGAATGCTCATGTTGCTGCACAGCGTCGCCCTCACCCGTATCCCCCCCAAATTGATTGCCAAGTTCGTTCAATTTCGATTTGTCTCCCTCCCTCTTTGGGAGGGACGTCATGAAATAAATTATATATATCATCATACAGTGTTGTTGCCTGTTAGGCTCACACTGCTGTTATTCCCACGCCTCGAATGGTTCTTGAGTCTAGCTGAGGGGCTGTGGCTACTGAAAAGTTCCGCGTAACCAATATAATATTTTGCGTTACTTGTCAACGCAGCTATCCTCTGGCATGTTTGTTTTGTTTTGGTTTTTTTTTTAAAATTTAATATTTTGCTGCACTGTCTTCCTTCCGCCAGAGGGGTATAATATTTTGTCTGGTGGCGTTAGCTGCTGACACTTTTGACATGCACAAAGAAAGGAAGGGATTTACGATATTGGTCGACGTATTTGCTAATGTGTGTAGTGTAGAATGGAAGGGTATGACAGTGGGGTAATGATCTCAGTTCGGTATGATTGACTGTCTTTAGCCTAATTTTTCTCGCTTTGTCAGCCTTTGGAGAGTGTTGTCTATATTTCTGTCCTATTATTTTGGCATCGGAGTTGATCCTTGTCTTGTGGTCGGTGTGGCCATGTCTCGAGAAGGGTTCGTTTGTTGCTCTCTTAAATTGTAAGGTGAGTCTTCCACTAGTGTATCCTACTTATTACTTCTTTCGACGATTCCTGTCGGTAGATTTGCTTTTCAGGAACTACACGTCATATACAATCTGTTACATGTGGTTGGTAAGCCGTCTCGTGGCCTGCTCCTTCCACCACAACTTCTTTTCTGTGTTGCTTTTGTTCGTTTGGGTTCCTGTAGGAATGGGACGGTAATCGCAAGGGTCCTTTGTAGTACTGTATTTTGTCCGAAACAACAATATCAACCGATGAACAATGATGGGTCGAATAAATGTAAGCTTTGAACTATATGAAAGCCCAAGATTGTCTGTCTGCCTGTCCATCCATCTTATGTGTGATTGGTGCGTCTTCCACTGGTCGTGCATCCTACTACGCACGTCTTTGGACGATGGCTCAGGACCATGTAGAACTAGATCTTCTTCTTCTTCTTCTTCTTCTTCTTCTTCTTCTTCTTCTTCTTCTTCTTC